TGTTATGAGGAAACACAGTTTTGTATCACCAGAAAAATATTTGGACTTGTTAGTAGACCATCTGAGTTTGAATCTTGTCTTCCATAACTCCTGATATTTATTAAACTCTTATTACATGCTAGAAATTATCTTAAATGATTTCAGTTTATTAGTTAATTTAGTCCAGTGATAGGCTATTTTGGGTCTTAGACTCCACCTTGAATCTGATAAAATATATGTATACATTTTCCAGCATAGCATGCACCTGGGTATACACATGAAACTTAACAACGGATTTTAGGGGACCCTAAGCTACAGTGTCCTAAATCAGACCTTTGACAGTTGCTGGAGAGATTTTCCAAACCTTTGAGAAATGCTGAATTTGCAAATACAACTATAACATAAGTGTATCCAGGTATCTTTTCTGGATGAGAACTCACTTTATTGGCCTCCACCTTTTCACTTTTTCACACTAATGCTAATAGTTGGCTCTTTTTATGGGGCCCATTTTTTCCTAAGAATCCATAGCACTTTATGTTAATTATTATGTATGAAATTAGTAGAGAATTGAAAAACAAAAAACCCTTTTTGAGATGTAGATACAAGTGGTCTGTTAAATTTTCTTACAAGCTAGGTAAGTCAATTCTTTCATACAGCAGTTTCACAGAAAACATTTCACATTTCAGCTGCAGCACTATTACACATTTACTATATGTCATGTTCCTTTAAGGTCGCTATGGTCAAAATCCTAAGTGTCAGATTTGCAGATGCCCACAATCTACTTGTATTGATATCTTAAATGGGAATTTCCCTTTCCTAGAAAGAAAAACAATGATACTTGAAATTTATATGACATCATCTGACATAAAAGAGTTACAGTGATCCAGTACAGCGTGTCATGTTGAGAGTACTAAGAGAACTTTATGAATAAGGATTAACCTTTATATTATATATGAAAAATTTCCATTTTATATGTGGTGAAATTGTATCATTAAAATAGTGAAGTAGTTTCACTTGGAGTGTTGTATTTCCTGGGTTCAGTTCAGTGCGATAACTTTCTTTTAAACCTGTCTTCATTCCTGCATGCCTGCATTGGATANCACCTGGTCGCATATGGTGACCACTTGCTTCTGCAAGATGGAGAGGAGCAGCCATGCACCCCGCCCCGCTGACTCGCAGTGGGCCATGGGTATGCTCGTCTCCATACCGTCTAACACCTCCCGTACAGCCTCCGGTGTGGACTCCACTGCCTCCCAGTTCTCAGGAGGGGCCCACACCATGAGAAAGTCAGTGACCGGGTGCCACAATGCGGTTGGGGGGCACATAGTGGAGTCCTCCCCCGAGCGCTTTGGGGCAGCGGGGCAGTCACTCACCGAATTCTGCCCGCAAACTACGTCAAATGTCGGGTCCGAGGGTGTCAATCAGGGACCATCTTGGTGTTGAGATGCCGAGCTGAAGGAAGGCACGAGGCAGATTGTGTGCCATAGATGCAGCAGCAGCTCTTTATGGATCTGAGGCCGGGGCCACAGAGCCAGATCTCCAAAATGGGAGCGGGGTTTTATACCCTCATACAAAGAACAGGTGCATGGTGCCAGCACACATGCACAGGAAGGAAACTTACAAGCAGTTAACAGAACAGGCTAATAGGAAATGTACATCAGCAAGTCGTTTCCTCCCCTCTGTCCTACTCAAGGGGGACGTGCAGGCCGGTCTCCAAAGCCTGTAAATGTTTCCTAACTGAGGGCCCTAGCACCTGGGCCCCACAATATGTAAAAATTTAGTTACCTTTTAGTAAGTCAGACAGAAAAAGTGGAGAACCATATGATTTCACTCATATGTGGAATATAAAACTGAAAGCAAGACAAACAAAAACTCATAGACACAGGCAACAGTTTAGTGGTTTCCAGAGGCTAAGCGGGGCGGGGGGTGGTAGATGAAGGTAAAGGGGGTCAAATACATGGTGATGGAAGGAGAACTGAATGGGTGGTGAGCACACAATGTGGTATCTAGGTGATTGAACGAGACCAGCTTGCTCACAGGCACTCCTGACTCGTCAGCCAGGAGCTCACCAAAAGGATACCTGAGAGGACTGGGTGGGAGACGAGAAATAAAAGAGAAGAGAGACAAAGTGCGGGGACAGGAGGGCCTCAGCCTGCTGGTAACAGACTAAGACATCGTTTATTGGAAAGGCTCTGTCTATATAGGCAAAAAGTTCCTCTTTCTGTAAGGGATTCTAGCTGGGGGCTTTGGCAGGGGGCTTTGGGTGTAGGCATACAGAAACCAGCAACTAGGGCCGGGGATAGAAACTGGAACAAGTCCATGGTGGAAAGTCCCGGAGCATTTTTTCTCTTTTGGGGGTGCCTGAGCCTTGCGTATGCAGTTACTAAGCAGACTCTCTTATCCAGCCACTCCCCTAGGCATAGGGTCCTGCATAGAGGCATGTGGCAGTTTGCCACAGCCTCAGTATCTCCAACTGTCCTCAATTGGCTCCCAACAGGTGATGTATTATAGAAATGTAAATTTGAAACCTATATAATTTTACTAACCAATGTCACCCCAATAAATCTAATAAAAAATTTTCAAAAATGAATAAATGTCATGTTACTATCTGAAACTTTTAAAACTATTGAATGAGGTTAATAAAGTACAAATTAATAGCTGTTTATTTTGAAGGGGAGAAGTTTATAATTTACCATAGTAATACATATGATCTGAATTGTGATTGTTTTGAGAATTACGATTTTGATAGTGCTTAAGTTATGTTGATATTATACTTCATTATGATATTGCACTGAGAACTTAAAATTTTAATAACATTATCAGTTATGGCAGCACATAAAGAGTAATCCAATAGAACACAGGAATAGTTAATTTAAAATATAATCTTTATTAACTGAAAATTAACATAACTAAATTTTGTATATTTTTTTTCTAGATTTATTATCCAGGATAGATTTGGATGAACTAATGAAAAAAGATGAACCACCTCTTGATTTTCCTGATACCCTGGAAGGATTTGAATATGCTTTTAATGAAAGTAAGTGGTATATGCTATGTGCAATATTTATTTAACAATGCTAATAGAACCATAGGGTAGATATTTGTTACTTTCATTTGCCAGCTAGAATGTTTTATGTATTTTGGGGGGAGAATAATGTCTTATCCTTTCACAATGAAATTCTTTACTTCATTAGCATAACCAAGTAAAAATTTCCCATACTTGTCCAGTCACTTAAACCAAGAGACACGAATTAGATTCAGCTTATGTATTTCAACCTTGAGTCTTCAACTCCTTGGCATTCAATTGAAATTCCCAATTAAATTATATAAAAATATAGTAGTGTTTCACATGTTATTTAAAATGAAATGACTGGCAATGATTATCTCTGACAATATTTTAAAGCACAATACTCAATTTTCTATGATTTTTTTCAGTCAACATCCTTATTTTAAAATGTATTAATTAAGCTCTGAATAACATAAATTTTGTAGTTGAGATTCAGAAAAATATATCATAGATTGCAAGGATGTTTCTGGAACAAAGAATTATGACTCATTGGATTAATAACACACTGTTATACTTTAAGGGTAATGTTATTACATGCTAGGTAGCATTTGAGTTGTAGCTTGCTGTTTGTTGCTCTGC